TTATTATTTTTTAGTTTGTAGCTATTTTTCTTTTTTTTTTTTATTCTTTTCAACTCGAATAAGTTTGCTAGAAAAAACATTTGTTTGCACAATTCGAGAAAGAGTTTACTCATATTTATTAGTCAGTAAAAAAATTTCAAATATAAGATATAATCGTATAGTCTATAATTATATCTCCCATATCACAAGCAGATCAGTGAATTTGCAACCAATGGCAGATAATGGCAATGGCATAATTGTTCCTCGATACTATCAGTAGGGTTAAGACCTCTATTATTCACTCGCCTTTGAGAAAGTCAATATTAAACATAGGAAAAATGTATGAAAGCTCGCGAAACTCAATGCCTCAATGAAATTGTGTCAGCCGTTCTCCGGCAATGGCTGCTACATTGGGTCAACAGTAAACTAGGAGTCGGAGCAAACCTGACTCGAATTCAAGCAGATTCATTCAGTGAGCATTATTCATTGCTCACACTCAAGCAGAGCATTCCATAGTCGGTCTGAGCCGCAGCGTCGCTCCGACTTGTTACAAATTGCAAATGGCAAGAAAATCATGCATCAAAGTAATTAAAGCTTTGGCAAGGCTATACACAGATCCACATGGCCGCTGTCTTGGGAATTGACATTTCGCTATTCAGCTGGTGCTATGGCTCTCACTTGGCCTAATACAGCTGTGTGCGTGTGCGTTTGAGTGTGTGTGTCAATAGAGTTGCCATAATGAGCATAAAATTATGCGAAAGTTGAAATGAAATTTCAGCATTACTCAGAGACCGCAAGACTTTGTATTTATGTGGCTATGCATCGTGGACAACTGCCGTAACCCGGCCATTTTCATAACTCTCTGTCAGCTTAGCTGCCCAGCTGTGCTGGGCAATCCCCTGGCCAGGCAGTGGCCCCCACTGCCGGTGATTACGGCCAAGAAGTTTTGCTTTGACACAAGCTCTCAACGGCCAGAGCCGTGGCAATTTGGGCCAAGTCAGTTGGCAGCTGTAACTGGACATAGTTGAGGATACCGCAGCAGGTGTAAATATGACAACGCGCTTAAATAATTATAAAGTTTTTAGTATTACGGTTAAGAAGGGAGGGAGAGGTGCAGGGGAGAGCGCGCGATACTTCACAATATTAACTTTAAGGCCAACACCAAATTAACTGCCTTTAGTATGCGATTGCGCTAAAAACAAAACTCAAGATTACGAATCAGCCAACTTCATTTGTGCGAACTTTAATTTCTATAATGAAAAGTAATCAAACAGCTGTGGGCGTGGCTGGAAAACTTTGCAGCCCATTTCAAGCAGAGTTTTCTTGAGCTAGGCATTCGGAGGAGGCAGGCACTACAGAATTTGGCATGGAATATGATTTTTATTTACTTCAAAGTGTGTGAAAATAATCAGAAACTTGAAATTAATTTCGTTCAAGTTTTGAGCTTGTACATATGTATGTATGACGGCCTGGAGACTTATAAAGTTTTGCCTCAGTTTTCATAACGCCTTGAGCTATTTAGTCAGTTAGCCAAAAACGAGTGCAAAATAATAGATTACAGAACTAATCTTGATAAATTATATAGACAAAAGTTTTTTTTTTTCAAAATGAACTTGTATTTTAAACATGTTCATTACTAAAACATATAAGAAAATAATCTTGGCAGCTCCATATCATAACATATATAAAATTGTATATATTCTTGATTAAAGTAATATACGTATGCGAGCTATCATGAAATCATTGTTTTCCATTAGCCAGGATTAATGGCATAATGAGAGACTTCATGCTAAAATTCATAATATATATACTACATACATATATCAGCAAACAAGATAATAAATACTCAGAGCAAGCACATTAACATTAAATGCTTCGCATATTCATTCCACTTTTCAGACTAAAGTCAGCAGAACTAATTCACTTACCCAATCGCAATTTCCCCGAAATACTCGCACACTTTCATAACTAACTGTTATTTTCACATTTACTCAGAAAATTAACCCACAATAGCTCACACCAAACTTCTATATGAAACATAATCCACCAAATAAACTCATGAAATGTCAACAAGTTTAAGTTAATTTTTTTTTTAGAAGAATGCACAGTTGATAAACAAAAAGGTTTATGCAATCAATTTTAAATTAAATTTATGACATATTTATATGCAAATACTATGGTTTTTAATTCATAAATTTATACACTGCGCGACATCAGGATAGCGCACTATTCATGTTCTCCGTCAATGTTGAATATTCTCTTTATATGCTGTATATGTATAGTCACAAAATTCGGGATTCTGTTTTATTGTCCTTGAAATAAAATGAAAGCTAAATTTTGTATAATTTTATGAAAATATTTTACAAATGAAAAAATAAATTCAAGTTCAATTATGATTATCTTACTAATTTCCCAACTCGTTAAAACAATTTGCTTTCCTTTTTTGAGAAAATAAATTTGGAAGATAAAAAAGAACATAACGGCATACTTTAATTTACCAATAATAATAAATAATAAAAGTTAAACTAAATTATTACTAAATAAATTTAA